TATTGCTTAATTGCCTCTCGTTCTTTGGTTAGCATTTTAGCATCTACTTAAATTGTTCGTATTGGCTAACCTTCAGCTATTTCCATTATGTTTCGTTAAAATCTTTGATTTATTTTGTATTAATTAAATCATTGATCTGCTTCTTTTAATTTCATCTATTTTTGTTATATTCGGCACTAACCGTTAGCTGTTGTAGCCCAGCGTCCTCTTTGGTGTTTTCTGTTGCTAAATTTCAAACTTTTCAACAGCTTTCAGTAGGCTATAATCTGGGCTAGCTGTTAGCAACTTTAGCAGAAGAGTTTCAAATGTTCTTGTTATTTTACTCTTATGAGTGCTTTTAATTATTAGCTTTGTTTTACCTGACTTTTATGTAACCTCTTCATTTAGCATGTTGGGTAATTTTTTCTATTTATTTTCTAATAAGATGTGGAAATTCTGATATATATTTTTGTATTTTTTCCAGCATGTTCTCTCAGGGAAGAAGCATGAACATGTTTTGTATAAAAATCTCCCCGGCGTTTTCACTCAGTTGAAGAGCGGCTGGCTGAACCATTTTTAAATTACATTTCCACTGAGGCTACAAAGGACCTGAAAAAAGGATTAACCTGATTAATGAGAACTCCCTCCTGCTCCATCACTCTCACTCCAACATCATTCTCTGGAAAAATCCCTCTCTGTTGACTTAGCCCACACACACACACTGTCTCTCACACACACATACTGATAAAAACCACCAACATCTTTCTCTGCTCTTTCCACTTAAGTTTGTTCCTCAAATTAGAAAATACCTCAAGGACATGGAGTATTACTGTAAATATATTCGCCTGTCTTTACGCTGAAGATACTTTTTTGACGTTGCAATAATGTCATTGAGGATCTGGTGCGTTTTAGGTCTGAGAATATAAACTCAAAGAACAGTTAAATATCAACAAAATTTGAAGGAAATAAATTTAAAGACTGAACAGGTAGCTCTAACCTAGAAATTAGCTGAAGTTGGCCTAATAATAATAATAATAATAATAATAATAATAGTGATGTCCAATATCAGATATGCAGATATTTTCCAAACACACACATTTCATTGTGTCACAATGACAATAATTCACTTTCACTTCAAACCTATTTTTAAGTCACATCATCTGAGCCAAACCCAGGGTTGGTCTGAACAGACACATCACATCATCTCAGCCAAACCCAGGGTTGGTCTGAACAGACAACTCTTAATAATAATGCAGTAGAAATAAATAAGCTAACCACAAAACACATTTCTATTTCCAAGTTAAAAGTACGTTTTTCAAAGTAATTTCTTGAATAGGTAAAGTTAGCACAACACAATAAAGCTTGACTCTTAAAAGTAAACCCTCAAAAAGGTGAAGTTAGCATAACTACAAAATGTTCAACCTATTAAGCTAAATCCTTAAGTAAAGGTGACGTTAGCATGATTTCAAAACGCTCGACAACCTTTAGTAAATCCTTAGGTAGGTGAAGCTAGCATAACTGAAACTGATGCTAGGGTTTGTAAAAATTAGCACAGGTTAGCCAAAACTGCTAACTGTCAGGGTGTGAGATCACAGCATTCACTCATGTCAGGGGCCACATACTGTATGGGCCAGGGTCAAACCAACGTCTGTGGTCCATCCTCCGGTTCTTTACCTCCACACAGTGGTCACAGATGCTGCAGTGGGAGCAGCGCGGCGGTCGGTAGAAATGACAGGAAGCACACCACTTCATCCGCACCTGGACGCCCCTCACGTCGACGTTCTTGTACAGTGGCGCTCGAAACTCATCGTCCTTGTCCTCGTCCTCATTGGCTGGAAAAGAGTATGTGAAAAAGTACTTGTTGGCAGGTACTGTAGTCCATACTGTAGCCACGGCGTCACTCTGAGCACACTCACCTATTGGGAGAACTCCCGCGTCCATGAAGGTTGCCATAGTGAAGTTGGCGAGAACAAAAAGGAAGAGGACGGCACAGCAGGGCGGCACGGCGGGGCAGACGGTCACCGCCAACCACGGGCATCTGAGCAGCCGCACAGGAGGAAATAAACAGGAAACTGTTGCACTTGGTGAAATGGGCCAACATTGTTTTAAAGCCTGTGGAGATGATTAATCCTCGAAAAAGTTCTGAGCTGTAAAAAAAGATTTATTTTAGCAAATAATTAGGGATGTCTGATATTAGCATATTATGTAATAATATCTGTAAGAATTGCTTAGGGTTTTTCCTCAGATAATGAAACGCAATGCCTGGGTTTCGCCAAATGATGTGTGACTTAAAAATAGTTTTGGGGATAAACGGCTGTATATTAAAGTGAAAGCCACTAGATGGCAGCATTGCAAGTCATTTAATTAATCCCATACTCTTACAATGGTTTGTACAGATAGATAAATAAATATTACCAGGCCTATATCGGTATTGGTAAATATCGGAAATGGAAATTGTTTGGACAATATCGAATATCGGATATCGGACATCCTCCTGTTTATTGAAGTGGCAGCGAGATATCGGACATCCCGAGGAATAATCCTCCTGTTTATTGAAGTGGCAGCGAATAATTGTTTTTTTTTTTACAGTGAACAAAGCCCTGTAACTGTGTTTAAGAAAACCTAACATACTTTTCTAATCTAGTTCAGTGTTTCTCAAATAGTGGGTCAGTCCCTCAAAAGTGGGTCACAGAGATATTTAAGTGGGTCGGAAAAAAAGTGAATGAAAGAAATAATGATTCAAAAGAAAAGTATCTTTGTACATGACTGATTTATGAGGAATTTTATAAAAAGGTAAAAATAAGGAGATTTTTTTGTTCCTAAATTATTTAATTTAGTCTCTTTCCTGGTTCTTTATAAACGTTATAAAATACAGTATGTGTTAAAACCTGGAGTCAGCAGAGCATTTTTTTAAAGGTTGGACTACTACAGAGTCTGGTTCATAAAAATATAATTTAGCACGAGCTTGACAAAGGCTTTGGAAAAGTACCAGTACTGGCTGTGGGGACATCATTCAGGTGCCAAACAAAGGTGCTAAATATGTGGCTCGTGTCGTTGTGTAGAAAATGTCATTGTTACATTGAATCTTTTTCATATCTGTTGGCAAGAGTTAGTGAAAATACATTTCCGTTCTTGGTCAATAATGTATGTGTTTGAAACAGAAACTTTTAGTCAGTAATATCACAGTGATGACCTCTGACCCTGGATGTGATTTCCATTCATTAAAGCATTTTTTATTAGCATTTTATTTTCCACTCTCCGAGCTAAATTCTAAGAGGACCATCACTTACGTTTTTTTACTCTAAACTGTGTGTGATGTGAGACTCGAGGAGCAGTGAATAATAAAAAAGTCTCATTTGCATTGCATGTTTAATTTAATACATAATGTTTCTAATTAATTAGTCGATTTAATCTGTGTGTGTGTTAGAACTGGAGAAATGTAAGAATCGTTAAAAAGAAAAACAAAGTTTACAAAAAAATAAATAAATCAGTGATGCACATGATATGAGAACAGCTTCAGTTTCTCGACCTCCTGG